CCGGGTTGAGAGCCCACTCCACTAGAAGTGTCGCTTCTTCTTGGGCGCTGGCACATGGCGCCTCGCTGACAGATATCTGTAGAGCTGCGGGCTGGGCGACACCTAACACGTTCGCTAGGTTTTATAGCCTACGTGTTGAGCCGGTTTCTTCCTGTGTGCTCGCTTCAACCAGCCGGTAACACCGAAGTTCCCGCTCTAGTGTCGGCTTGCTGCGCCACTCCCCTCCACGGAGCGGATACGTGCGCTTTTTTGCTCCAGTCGAGTTCCCCACCTGGGCGAACCCTGTGAGTTCCTCCACACCCCTTCGGCAGTCGGACGTTGCGGAGCGTCCGACGCCAGGCCTAGTGCTCGTATGCTTGTGTAACTTGTGCTAGGCTGGGTTCCATATGTGTGATCCCTGCGGCGATCCCATATGAGTATTCTTCCACGACCAGCTCCCTGCGGTGAGCCCGTGTCTTTCCCTTGGCAAGGCTCGCTCTGCCGTCACTGTCTGGTGTAGCCTCCCCCTTCTTAGGCTGGAGCCACCCCAGTGACATTCCATATGTTGCACTGCCCTATCCGGCCAGTCCATATGTGTATTCTCCACATGGTACCTCCCTTCGGGCAGGATGTGGCTCCGCAGCGTCCCTCTCCTCTGGAGGGGCACGCTTTCCCAGTGTTATTCAAGGTTCTCTGTGTGGGTATATGGAACAGCAGTTGAACTCCCTCTACGCAGGTCTTCCGCCCCAGCAGTTGGGGGTCTGAGAGTCTTGCGTGGGGCGCTGGATGTGGCAGCAACCGATGGCGTTTTCCATGGGATCCCCTAACGTCGTCACGTCGACGTCACGTCGAACGTGAGCGACTGAAGGGGAACGTCTCGGTTACTGATGTAACCCTCGTTCCCCGAAGGAGGGAACGGGAGACGTGACGTCCCGCCGCCACAGTTGCTGACCATCGCTGTACGGCCGTCATTAAACTCGGCTCCTCAGTGAAAAACGGTGTGTGACGCGTTCACGCACGCCAACGTTCATTGGCTTGTTCTTAGATACTCGAAGTTGATAGGGCTCCCTGAAGTGATCCCCTAACGTCGTCACGTCGACGTCACGTCTCCCGTTCCCTCCTTCGGGGAACGAGGGTTACATCAGTAACCGAGACGTTTTTTCACCAACTGCTGGATGTGAGGTTTAAAAGAGAGAGAATCATCAATTAGAATACCAAGGTATTTGTATTGGGATACAGTCTCAATCTCGAAGCCCTGAGAAGTCGTAATGGATGGAAGGTTTTGTAGCTTAGATTTCGCATTGGAAAACAACATAAGTTTAGTTTTGTCGTCATTCAAAAGAAGTTTTAAGTCAGACAAGGTAAATTGTACAGTATCAAAAGCAAGTTGTAGCTGACAAAGAGATTACAATGACAGTTCTACTCAGCTGCACATCTATAACTGTCAGCCACTGTTGTTCCATGATCCATAAGGACCAGAGGGCGTATTACAGAAACGTTCTATCTTAAGTTAAGATCTGACAAGTTAATTTAGGATTTTTTTCACAAATTCGTATTACAGAAGCAAATCTTAAATTGATTTAGGATTCTTATCCTCTCTTACAAAATTTCATTGTATCTGTAGTTACGAAATCTTAAACCCCTCCATCGAGTTCAGTAATCAACTCTCAGGTCTGTTACCAAGCAACCAACCACTCGTAAACAGCTGCTGTGAAGTAAAACGGAAAAACTGGAGAATGGAGAAACAAAATAAGTGGTGCTTTTCATTAAGTGGAGTTTTGATAAGCTTGGTAGAAAAGGCAAAGTCTATTCCTTTTATTTCATAGGAGTCTGTAATTATTTGTCAGAGTTTTGTTGTCAAAGTGCAGCACATCATTTCTGTGTTCACAAAGTCTTTCCACCATCAAACATCGCTGTTCTTCATCTTGTATCATTAATAAATGTGACGCCATTCTCAGACAGAGCAATTTTTATGTGATTTTTACAGTTGGTTTCAAATAATTTTTAAGTTAGGACACCATTGGGGTTGTCCTAAAGTTACAACAGTTTTTAGGATTTTTTGTAGATTTATATGCTTCTGTAATACTCTTTTCCTATCTGTAGTTAAGATAAGATAAGATAAGATTATGCACTTAAGAAATGTCATTTTTTTGCAATAGCTTTTGTCCTAAATGAGGTCCTAACTGAAATTGCCATGGTTACCAAACAGCCCCCAGGCCCAGTGCTTAATTTATAAATTCCGAGGCCCGGAATAATGGGAAGGGATGCATCTGGCAAATGAGTGGGTAAGAGAAAGGTAACGGAATGCGTAATCACAGGCGGGTTTCCATCCGATTATTTTGATGCACATTTTGAAAATACTCTTAAAAAAACCTTGATGGAAAGGGTTGTGATGTGAAAAATAAAATCTTAGAATGCTCTAGATGCAGATTATCTTGAGTTTTTCATCAGTTAAACTGTGCATTAAGGGGATGGAAACAGTTTATTCGCATACTGATGATGTGCTATGACCATTTGTGCATGTAAAACACTTCAAAAAAAAGGAAACAAAAATAACGACTTTATTCAACTATTCATTTTATTCTTTGTGGGCCTCGAGTGAGTTCACGTAGTGTAACAGCGCAGCGCTTCTGGGTTGTACGTCGGAACATAGGCTCACTATTGGCCGACGCTGGTGTGTGATGCTGGCCAATAGTGAGCCTACGTTCTGATGTACAACCCAAAAGCGCTGCGCTGTTACACTACGTGAACTCACTCAGAGGCCCACACAGTAGAAGATGAATAGTTGAATAAAGTCGTTATTTTTGTTGTTGTTTTTGCTCACAAAAAGTATTCTCGTCGCTTGATAAACTTATGGTTGAGCCACTGTACTTGGACTATTTTAACAATGTTTTTACTAACTTTCTGGGCCGCCAGGTTTCAATTACAATAGAAGCCTATGGAGGAGTGAGACAGCTCTCAGATGTAATCAAAAATATCTTAATTTGTGTTCCGAAGATGAACGAAAGTCTTACAGGGTCGGAACAACGTGAGGGCGAGTAATTACTGACAGAATTCTAATTTTTGGGTGAACTGACCCTTTCACAGCATTTAATTAAACGCTGTCCAACAACACAAATAACTCTCTCCTAACCAATGGGCTCCATCACGACAAGAGGTTCAAAACGTAGTGGATGGGAATGAGCAATGATGCACCCTTTCTTTAGTCAAATATTCAGAAAAGAGCATGAAAAAATCAAAAACATTTTGGATGGAAACCCAGCATCGCCGGGTTCCAATCTAAATTGCTTCGCAAATAACAGAAGTGCATCGAAGTTTATATAGCCTATTCTATCGACAAGTGTTGGAAATGCGAATAGCGGTCAAATCCAATAGACCATCGCCAAAACAGCATGGATCACTTTTGCACCTCTTAAAAGTTTTTTTTTATACATTTTACATGGATATAGCAAGCCAATGATAACATTAACGTTATTATACTTAATATTCATGATCATTTGTACACAGGTCATTACAAATATCTTTCAGTAGTGTATGGAGGTTTCCCCAAATAAGGTGCCAGATCGGATTTTGCACAAATGAAGCCCTGACCAGTCCCTACGGTTCAGCACACATTTGATTCGCAGATTAATTGCAGTTTAATCATCATTGATTGAAAGTTTATCAGTCGCAAGTTTACACATTCAAGCAATTGTAAATCATTCCAATGCAAAAAAAGTGACAGAGAACTCAATTCTGTACTTGTGCGCTGTTAACTGTTTTCACAGAGAGGTGCGTTTCAGATATATATATATATATATATATATATATACAGAGAACGGGCTCATATATATATATATATATTGAGCAGCCTTCAACACTTGTACATCTCCGAGTGAAGAAATGGGCAGGTGACATAATCTCAGACCCCTCTTTTCCCAGGCCATAGCCTGTCTGCACTTCAGACGCTACAGATCTCTGTGCCCTAGAACATTCAGGTGCAAGAACAGGGTTTTTCCAACATGCTATCTCCAGCTTAAACAGCTAACACACCCATTACTATCTACCTTTTTATAGATCAATATCCTTATAGTACTTTTGCCACCAGGCATTGGGCAATACAATAATTATCATGTAAATACATCTTTTTATTTATATTGAAAAGTTTATATAGTGTATATACAATACCTAATGTGCACATCTGGTCATATGCCTTCTGCTTACTTCATAGGTGTATGTTACTTTAAGCTTTTTACCTTAATTATACATTTAATTTTTCTAATAATGCTTGTTCTGATCAGTCAAATAATTAATATACCTTTGATTTACCTCATAACACAATGGGATTTTTACACAGCCAGTCACAAACAGACACCGTTATACAATAATTTCAGTATTTCAGTCTATTATTGTAGAATCATCTATTTAAGATAAAATTGTTTTTAAATGTCAGAAACAAAACAAAAGTAAATGGACACTTTTGGACAGTCTCTTACTGTTCAATATGACACTTGTTCCTGTCTGTATGACCCTGACTGTTCTATATAAGCGGGGCCAGACTTTATTCTGTTAGTCAAAAGTTAGGCTAAGTAGAAATGACTTCCATTGAAATGGAATCCATTTTATGATACAGCATTTTAAAAGCCAATGCTAACCTAAGGAAATGATTAGCTAGCCTCATTGCCCTCTATGCTGTACGCTTTATGACCTAAGAGGTGTTCAGGGTCTACTGAAATCCTGCTAGTGCCCAGCCATCATTGCATTTTAAAGGAAATTTGAGGGTTTTGACAGGGTTGGTGGACAACAGAATATTTTATACTTGTGCAGAGATATTCAAAGTTCTTTAGATTTAAGCGCTATGTCCCGTTACATGTCTAAAATATTGCCAACTGCAAGGTTTAGTAGATAAATGGAAAGCCCTTGTCAGGTATCCCACAAAGCACAGCAACATAGATATACACTGTTAATCCATGAAAAAATACCCGTTTGTCATTTCTACGGACCATAATCAAATTATTGTTTTATTTGTTAATGAAACCTACCTGAAAACCCAGGCTCTCACTCCCTCAGATCAGTGTGTTCTGACAGAGAGATCAGCTTTATAGACATAAATCATTAACCTGACGCTCCACCCTTCACCACAGGTAAAAAGGAAAATGTGATTAACAGACCTAGAAAATGTTCGCGCTCAGACATTCCTCTTACAAAGCTCAGCAGATTTATTGAATGTCTCAGTTATGGTTTATTTATCAACTTCAGGTGTGTCTCATAACATTCCATAGAGGAGAAATAATAAACACACAAAGGATAATTTTTTTTTTTAAATTTTTTTTATTATAATTTAATTTTTAGGGATTACATACACTTATTTTCCAGGAATGCCATGATAAAATGCCATGATAAAAAGCCATGATAAAAAGGGAAGAATGTCATATACACCTAGGATGGCTTGAGGGTGAGTAAATCATGGGCTAATTTTCATTTTTGGGTGAACTATCTCTTTAAGAGTTGACCATACTGTTATTTAACGTTAAATGTGCTAACTACTTTTTATTCAGTATTAATCTTGAAGTGATACCTGTCAGGGAACACAGACTCAAGGAAACGGTGAGTAACTTCAGTAGAAATTGTTTATTGACAACAGATGAAATATGGAGAAATGATGCTGAACTTCAACAAGAGAGTGGAGAAGGATGACAGTCTGTAATGGTACACGGCACCACACACACACCTTTATATAGACGGTTAGAAGAATAATGCAGTCTTTTTCTCTTACAGGTCTTGCAGGGAGGAATGGTTTAAGATGGATACCAGGAGTTGGAGAATCACACAAAGGTAGGTAATCACACCTGAGGAAATATCGCACGTATCCAGTCCGAGGAGTGGAATGGCGAGCAAGCGAAGACACTTGAGCGGGTCCTAGTACCGGCTGGTTGAAGCGAGTACATGGGAGGACACTGGCTCCACTCGGAGATTGTAGAATCTGGCGAATTTGTTGGGTGTCGCCCAGCCTGCAGCTCTGCAGATGTCTGTTAGCGAGGCGCCATGCGCTAGAGCCCAAGAGGATGCCACGCTCCGGGTGGAGTGGGCAGTCACACCAAGGGGGCACGGTCGACCTTGCTGCTGGTATGCCAAAGCAATGGCGTCCACTATCCAGTGAGACAGCCTTTGCTTGGAGAGAGCCTTTCCCTTCAACTTCCCACCATAACAGACAAAGAGCTGGTCTGAGGTCCTGAAACACTGCGTTCTGTCTACATAGGCGCGGAGGGCGCGTACTGGACAGAGCAGTGCCAAGGCTGGGTCTGCCTCCTCCAGGGGCAGCGGTTGCAGGTTCACCACCTGGTCCCGGAAGGGAGTGGTGGGAACCTTGGGCACATATCCAGGCCGGGGTCTCAGGATCACGTGAGAATAGGCCGGCCCGAATTCCAGGCACGCTTCGTCTACAGAAAATGCGTGCAGGTCCCCTACCCTCTTAATGGAGGCCAATGCAACCAGGCCAGGCATTGGCCTGGTTCTTAATTGACAGGAACTTAAGCTCCACTGATTGCAGAGGCTCAAAGGGAGCACTCTGCAGGTCCCACTGAGAGGTCCCAAGAGGGAACGAGAGGAGGGCGAGGAGGATTCAGTCTCCTTGCTCGCCATAGTGAAACAGAAACCTACTCATTATGTCGTGGCCGAGAGGTTATGGTGATGGACTCGAAATCCGTTGGGGTCTCCCCGCGCAGGTTTGAACCCTGCCGACTACGTCGATCCTCGTCACTTTGCGAAAGGAACTGTGTACGTGCTGCTTTTTTCTTTAACTTCATATGCAGCATGTATATTAGGAAACCCTCTTTTCAAGCCTGAGGTGAGCACCATTTCAAAAGGCCCAGATCATCTGTGATTTTCACCATTCTATTCAGGCAATTGGAGCAATGGCATTGGCATCCCCGATAACTTCAAGGCCTTCACAGTGTGCATCTCAAGAGTTGCCGCATTCTATTTTGTGGAGAATCTTGCATATTAGTGTTTTGAAATGTCAGATTTGTTCTCTCTCCTCTCAGGAACCTGATGATCAGGTCGTGCTTTCCCACGGACTTACCTTCAACTGCGTCATGATGTGCGGCGACAGCGGCAACATAGACTTTTAGGGTGGAGGGAGACAGCCTTCGCTCCAACCCCTCTTGCAGGAAGGAAAGCACGACACTGATCGGGCATTTTCTGGGGTCTTCTCGGTGAGAAGAGCACCAGGAGACAAAGAAGTTCCACTTCAACGCGTAGGCATGGCTGGTGGACAACGCTCTAGCGGAAGTGATGGTAGCACATGGTTTGTGCAAGAAGGCTTACTGGGGGAAACGCATACTTGCGGAGGCCCCGCGGCCAGCTGTGCGCCAGTGCATCCGTGCCGAGCGTGCCCTTGGTCAGGGATTAAAACAGGTCGCAATGGGACGAGTCGTGGGAGGCAAACAGGACCACCTGTGCGTCCCCGAACTGATCCCAAATCAGCTGGACCGACTGGGGATGGAGTCTCCATTCTCCAGGAAGAGGCTGAAGCCGTGAGAGCTCATCGGCAACAAAGTTCAGGTCTCCCAGGATATAAATGGCTCGAAGCGACCTCAGATGCTTCTGACTCCATAAGAGGAGGTGGCGGCCGAGTTGCGACGTACGGCGGGAGCGTAGACCACCATGTCGGTTGATGTACGCTACTGTCGCGGTATTGTCTGATCTGACTAGTACATGCTGGTTCTTGAGCAACGCATGGAAGCGGTGCAGAGCGAGACGTACTGCCAGCAACTCGAGGCAATTGACATGCCATAGGCGCTGGGGTCCTGTCCAGGAGCCTGCGGCAGCATGTCCATTGCACATGGCACCCCAGCCTGTGGTGGAGGCATATGTTGAGACAACATGCCTGGAAACTCGGTCTAAGGGCACTCCTGCCCGTAGAAAGCTGAAGTTCGTCCACGGGGTGAAGGTCTGACGGCAGGTCGGAGTAACTGGTACTCGGAGCGTGCCTTGTTGCCATGCCCACCTCGGGACTCGATCGCAAAGCCAGTGCTGAAGCGGCCTCATATGAAGCAAACCGAGTGGCGTTGCCACGGCTGCGGATGCCATATGCCCCAGGAGCCTCTGAAAAAGTTTCAGTGGAACCGCACTCTTGCCCTCGAACTATCTCAGGCAAGTCAGCAGTGACTGCGCGCACTCGCTCGTAAGCTGCGCGCACATGGCGACCGAGTCAATTTCCATACCGAGAAAAGAGATCCTCTGCACGGGGCAAAGTTTGCTCTTTTCCCAGTTGACCCGAAGGCCTAGACGAGCTAGGTGCCGGAGCACTAGGTCCCTGTGTTCGCAAACCTGGTCTCGAGAGTGAGCTAGGATCAGCCAGTCGTCGAGATAGTTCAGGATGCGAACCCCGTGTTGCCGAAGCGGCACAAGGGCTGCCTCGACGACCTTCGTGAAGACGCGAGGAGACAGGGCTAGCCCGCACGGGAGAATCGCGTACCCGTATGCCTGCCCCTCGAAAGCAAACCGTAGGAACGGTCTGTGTCGAGGGAGAATGGAGACATGGAAGTAGCGAACTGAATCGCATAGCCGAGCCTGATGGTTCGGGCGACCCAGCGGGACAGGTTGGGAAGCTCTAGCCAGGCTCCCAAGGACTGTACCAGCGAGGTCATGCGAACCACAGACGTCCCCTCGGTGGTGCAGCAAGGTGGAATGACCAGCCCAGACATGGGTGGCATAGCGGCCCGGTGCGGGGGCACGGTCATTAGCCGCGTCCTGACAGAGGAGGCCAGGGGTCTGGTGACAGAGGGGGACGAGAGTGGCGAGGCCCGTGGGTGGCGCACACTGTCATCCGAGAACTCTGTGACAGAGGGGGACGAGAGTGGCAAGGTTTTGTAAGCGGCGCGCACTGCCATCAACGCCCTCTGGGGGCTCAGAGATGGGATGCAGCTCTTTGGAGAAGAAATTCTCCACCGCGCCGGCGTAGAGGCCAGCCTGGGATATGGGGGAGTTGAGGAAGCGGGTTCGCTCCGCCTCGCGCATATCGACCAGGTTAAGCCAGAGATGTCTGATCAGGCATGTGGACATCACCTGACCCAGGGAGCGTGCGGTCACCTTCGTCGCTCGTACAGCAAGGTCAGTGATGGCAGGCAGCTCTTGGATGAGCCCTGAATCAGCCCTACCCTCGTGCATGTCATTGAGCACCCAGAAGGATGGCAATAACATGCAGTGAGGCGGCAGCGTGCCCCGCAGCACTATAGGTCTTTGCCACCGGAGTAGACAGAAAACCTACAGGGATTGGAGGGGTGCTTAGGGTCACCACGCCAGGTGGAGGCGCTGTGGAGACACAGATGTGCTGCCACAGAACACTCCACGGGGGGAACCCCAGTGTACCCTTGGCCGCGGCCTCTGCGAGAGCAGAGAAGGCGGAGGAGGCCTCTGAGCAGTCACGAAAAGTCAAAGGAGACTCCCACGATCTCATGACCTCTTCATGCAAGTCCGGGTAGAAAGGATTTGGGTTCGCCTCCCCAAAAACCAATCATCAGCCTTAAGTGCTCGGGACATGGCGGATGGTTCCACACAAGCCCGATACCCGGACTCCAGCTCACCTTGTGATGGAGCGATATACATGATTTCATCAGCCGGGGGACCAAACTCATTCGGAACCGCGCAGGTTGCAATGTGAAAGACGGGGTGTGGACCGAGGATATTTCGTCGGTTTAGTTCCAGACCTGCCGACATAGGTCACCCTGGCCACCAGCCGAAGTATTATCTCGCGTGGAGAAAAATAGATCGGGGTGTGGATGAGGGAACTTTCGCTCTATTGAGCTCATCGAGTCTCGACCGTTACTTTGCGATGGTCATGTTCCCGCTGGGAGAACGTGACGCATCCACGAACGCTGTCTGAACATGATCAAAGCCCAAACACGTCAAAACAGTGCTCGTGCCCATCAGCTGAATCTATCAGAATACCGCACTCAGAAATACACAGGCTTTAGAAAGACGTGCCGCGTGCAGAGTAGAGTAGAGTAGCCTTTATTGTCATTGCACTGTGGAGGTACAATGAAATTTAGGGTGCTCCAACAGAGCCACCCTTGCACCACACAAAAAAAGAAACCAGAAA